GAGCTCAGCACCCTCCTCACATACTCTATAATACTCTTGACACACGATAGGTCACTGCTCTGCTCGGTGGACTACGGTGCTTTTCGCGTCCACCTCTTGAACTGCACTATGTTCCAAACTCACAGGACAGTGGCCTTCGCAGCCCCTGATCCGTCCCTGCTAGGCCGACAGAGACGAGGTGGTACAATCGCTAACATCCGCCCCGAGCAGCTCAGGGCACGACCACGTTCACCTAGCTCCAGCCTGCTTCTGGCCCGCAGCCAACGGCCTGGCTCCCCCAGCTGCAGCCCGGCGCCCGGGTGGCTGACCTGCACTTGCATGTAGAGATGGGCTTCCTGCCGCTCCTTCCGCTTCTGCGCCTCGATCCTCTTCTCTTCCTGCAGCCGCTCCACCAGCTGCTGAGGGATGTCGTGGTCCGTGACCGCTTGCAAGACCTCACCTGCAGAGACGAGCACAGCCCCTTCATGCTCCTGCAAACTCCTCCCTCTCCTTGTTCCGCTGCTATAGTCAGTTCTGACCCAGTAACCCCACAGAACAAGGCTGTGATCTTTACAGGCATAGACTGCCACGTCTCGCTCCTGTGGAGTGGCTGGTGGGTTTGAACAGCTGGCCTTTTGGTTTGCAGCTGAGCACACTTAACCACTGCCATGAGGGCGTCTCTCCTCTCCTTACGAAGTCCTAATTCCACGTCATCATTAACACGACACGATAAGGGGAGTGAAGTGGTGTCACAAGTCCACATCGAAATCCACAAGCCCTTGCAGCTTGCTCGAAGAGGGTCTGGTCAATTTGTCTTTTGAGTAAGGTGGGCAGACCCCAGGGCAGTGAGGCACCCAGGCGGCACCTATGCACGTGCACCGCGGGCTCACACACGAGGAGCGGGGGTACTCACTCAGCTTTGACTCCCTGATATAGACTAACATGTAGGCGTTAGTGCAGTGTCGCACAGACAGGTCATCGTCATGGCCCCCGTAATTGTGCTCAATGGCCTCTTCCTTAGTGCATCTGGACACCACGTCGTCATCAAACTTACACCACTGCGAAGGAAAGCAGAGATGAGGCCCCACAGCACGCGTCCAGCACACGCCGAGGGCACACAGGGCGTGCACGCAGCCCCAGGCAGCCTTCCGACCCACCGCTCTGCCCTGCCGCTTCCTCAGCCACACCCTCTGGGAAGCCTCACGTCCACCCAGGGACGATTCTCCTAACAGACTCCACTTAACCCAGCCATTTCCTACTGAGGTTCAGTCTACTGACAGCGCTTCACGGAATGAAGAAAACTGATCAGAGCCCAGCTACCTCAGCTGGTGAAGCTGACCCTCCATGATGTGCCTGTAACTTAACGGGACGTGTTATTCCACTCTGCGACACGTGGCTGCAACAAGGAAGAGTCTGGTGGAACGGAAGCCACCTGGCTCTGTGCACCAGGCTCCTTCCAGGCCTTTCACCTCGGATCAGGCCATCCTCACAGGTAAGACACTCTCGTCAGGGTGCGCTCCACTGTGGGTCACAGTGCTGTGGGGTCCCTCCAGCAAAGCCCCTGGCACGGGCTAACATGCTCAAACCCTGCTCGCGCACGCACTGGCCCTATGGCCTTGGATACAGACTCTGAGCACCTCGCCTCCAGGTCTACATTTTTAAGGGTTGCAGTGAAGACTGGATAAGGAGATCCAAGGGACAGTGGGAACTACAAGCATCACCCCCAGGCACCGACAGATTCCAATGCTGTTGCCCCACACAGGCCCACGCATGGGACTGCGCAGTTTCTCTACGCAGCTGGCAATACATGCTTCCCAGTGGACACACAGGGATCCCCGCACAGGGTCAACAGTTAAGGTCAAGCCCCTGCTACTAACAGAAAAGCCAGAGATTGGTATCCACACAGTGGTGCTGCAGCAGACAGACCTGGAGAACCACTTCCAACAAATCAGCCCCCGGAGGCTCCGCGGAGCCTGGTTCACTGTGACCCACAGGGGTCAGCTGGCAACGACTCACAGATCAGCCACTGGAAATACTGTAAATGTAAAGCCCAGTTCACTGTGACCCACGGGGGCCAGCTGGAACCGATTCAACAGCAACTAGTTTATTAGATATAAAAGAATTCTCTAAGTCTCAATGTTTATTACAAACAGGGAGACACATCTATAAAGTACGCATCACTGATGTCCACCTTCAAAGCATCACCAACTAACAGGAAAACGGCATACATTTTAGCAGCCAGAGAAGAGAGAGAAATCGGTAGCTGGGAGAGACCCCTGATCTATAAGCCAGTCAAGAGGAATAGGAAGAGGCTGGAGCTTGGCTCAATATTAAATTCCCATGTCTCCCATCCAACTGCACCCCATCAACTCTACCCCTGGCCCGCACTTACTTTGCCATCCCCTTTGGGGTTTAGATAAACCACATAATGTCCACCATGGTTATCTCCACTGTGAACCAGGACTGCGTGAAGAATGTAATTGGCAGGGTCCTTAGGATCCGTTTTTTGCAAGAATTCATCGAGGGGTAACTGTTCAGGGAACTCAAACCTATTAAAACATTTCAGAGAAATGGAGCTGTCACTTCCATGTGAAATGTCTCACTGTTGGACTTTCTCTATTACCAACAGGGCTCCTAACTGACTGCCCCATCTTTCTTGGGAAAAGGAAAACAGGCATCTGACTTGGAAGGCCCTGCTGACTACCTCAGACGCGGCCCCTATGAGGGCCCTAGGGAACGTGAGCTAGACCACAGGAAGTGCTGCCTATCTCCCAGCTGTATTCCAGGATGCTGCACCACAGCCAGTCCTGCACTAAACACACAAATGCCCCGAGTGTGCCTGGACATGAACGATTCTGAACGCATTAATGGCTGATCCTGAAGGTCAGGAGTCAGACCGCTAAGAAGCACTACAACTGAGACAGACGGCAAATCAGAAGTGCAGCCAATCGCCGCCCCCGACCATTCCCAGACTTGGTTTTCAATGATCTGCTGCTTAAAAGCCTGGCTATCACGGTCCAGTGTGATCATCGGGCACCAACTTCAACACGCCTTCCGAGGCCAGAGAGGAGGTGAGGCCTGGCAGGTGGGGCTGCAGCCCAGGCAGGTAGACTCCCTGCGTCTAACGGGGCAGCCGTCACTCAGGCACCTTCTGATTTCCTAAAAATGCCAGAAATCAGGACTTCTATGTGAAATCTTGTGGACTTCAAAATGTGAGGAACTAACTGATGCCAATAAAAAGAACATGGTATGGACTCCGTAGAACCTGCCGGCGAGCTGGACTTGGCCCGTGGGCTGCGGTCGCAGGGGCCCACGCATCCCAGTGTGGGGTGAGAAATGCACCAAGAGTCTGCTAGGGTGGGTCAAGGGATTTGGTCACTCTCCCTCACACGGGAGGGGGACTGACCAGCCTCTGCCCTGCTGGTGCGCATAGCAACAGTGAGAATAAACAGCACTAGCTGGAATCAAAAACTGTGTGTTCTAAACCAGACAAAGCAGGATGAAGCAGCACGCTCGTATCTGGTCTTCTAAGAACCTGGAATACAGCATCTGAAATGGGACACGCCATCTCCCGACTACTGCAGCACTCGTAAGGACTCTAGCGCATTCTACAGGTCAATGGCAAGTGAGAGATCATCCAATACTGGAGAATCTGATTACAAAAACCACACTAACACCTGGGGTTACAGCTACTTTCTGATCAAATCCCATGTGGGGAACAGAATTTATTAGCAATCCTGGCAAGTGTGAAACGTGTGAAGAAAAGAGAACTGCGTCCTTAGGATTCTCATCTGCCACAGCACAGAGGGGACCTGAGATTGGCGGCAAGGAACTTGGGGGCAAAGGGGGAGAAATCAATAAGCAACCAGCTGCCTCCCGTATCTCTTCAGTTCAATGACCTCTCTAATGTGACAGTTCCTGGGACGCTGAGATGGCAGGGAAAGCCAACAACTCTGAACCTAGCGCCCCACGTGCGGGTCGCAGGCAACCTGCCTCCCTGGGCTGCGGGGTCACCTGTCGTTGATCTTGATGTTCTGGTCCGTCTGCGGATCGTACATGAATCTCATCAGCTGTAGATGCAACACTGGTGGCAACGTCAGGAATTTCACCCCTTTCTCTGCTTCCTGGACAACGAACAGGAAACGCAAATTCAGTCACCCTGCCTTGTTTCCCTAAGCAAAGCGAGCAACCGCCTTTCAGCACGTTTGGAACACGTGTGAGGACTGGGAGGGGTTAGGGAGCCATCTGGGTGCCTTTAAAGTGCTGGGTGGGGTCCACGCCACGTCTCTGGGCTATTTAAACACCACATAAGAGCTCCCCCTGCTCCCTGGACGGTGTCCCATCTCGACGCCCAGCAACAGGACAGTGAAGTCAACCGGGACTTAGTCACCTGCTGCGGTATTACAGAGCCGTTGAACAGCGTGTAAAGTCACCTGCTGCAGTATGACAGAGCCGTTCAACAGCGTGTAAAATGTGCAGAAACACGGGGAAATCACACAGCGGAAAAGCAGGAAACCAGGATGACAGTTCTGTAAAGGGAGTGACGCCACAGACGCCTGAGCAGATGACAAACGGTCAAGGGCTGAGGACCCCCAGGGCAGTCTCTGTTGCCAGGGCTCCTAAGGGGCCTGTGTTCAGGAGCGCACAATGCTCACTGCTTGGGCCAGAGTCTTCAGAGACGTTCTGACTCCGGTGTCAGCCAAGCCCTGGGAGCCACCACCATGGCCCGTTACTGCCAGTCTGTGTCCCACGTCACCCCCAAAACAAGGCTGCTCCACTCTGGAGGGACCCACATCACTCCGTGCTCAGCCCTCCCCCATCTCTGCACTTCCTCTCCTGAAGCCCCTGGTGATGTCTGCCGCTGAGGGCCCTCCTCACACACCCCATCACTGGCTGTACGTCCAACCCAGGCCATAAACTCATGTCTCTCGGGACTGGCCAGAAGACACGCCTAGTGAGGGCAGGCGGTGGGACCCAGGCTCACTTCTTTGCTAACGTTCTGTGCTGCCCATCACTGCCTGTAAGAGGGCAGGGGAGCTCTGCAAAGAGGGAAACAAAAGCCCAGGAACTTCTCCACATGAAGGAACGGCATGTTTCTCATACACCACGCAAGACGAGAGTCCTGTTGCTTCACTGCCGTGCAAACAGGCGAGGATTCTAACGCACACTCGCCCACCCCGATCCCTAATACCCCAGGGGAATCAAGTCGATTCTCGTGAGCTGACCACAACGTTTCTGAGTCCATCAGCTGGCCTCTGCAGTAATTACCGTTTGCAGAGCGACTCTCTGACTGACAGTGTGGTGTCCTGAGTGGTCTGCCAGGCAGGAGAACAGTGGCTCCGTGCCCAGGGCCACATGGATACAATCGCACTGTGCCTCACAAGCTGGCGACTGGCCCGCACAGGTGTCTGCAGCTGTGAACCAGCTGCCGATGGAACAATGAGTCAAGGTGAGGAGCCTGCATTGCAGGCCCTGGGTCACTGCTCCACGAGGACACCATGGCTGCCAAGACCGGCCAACCAGCCGCCGGGAAGCCTGGCCACACGTGTCCTGCCTGTGGGCGGGTCACCTGCTCACCATGCTCACTGCCCTGTCTGAGGCCTGAGGCCTCTCAGGGACAGCAGGGCCACCAAGTGCTCATGGAGTAACACAGGATACATTTCACTTTCTAAAAAGCCATCAGCAGAAATAAATACAATTCAACTGACAAAGCAACCCTACTGTGACACTGAGAGAAAGCCCCAGCCTGACGTCAGGAAGGAGAACTCGGACGACGAGGACCCTCAGACCTGCAGGGGGACAGCTCCAGCTCAGAAAAGCATGCACTGTGCTGACGGCCGGTGAGCCGCCCCTTCCCTCCACCCCTGCGGACGACTCACGAGAGCGCTGGAATGAAGCCCTGTGGGTGCTGAGTCTCAGACATACGAACGAGACCGACTACTGAGCGCCTGGGCAGCTGTGAGCCTGACGGGTTGGAGACAAGGGACCCCACAGACAGGCACAGCACCCCCACGGTACCTGCAGGCCATGTTCTCCAGCGTCGTATTTGTTGTCACCGTCCAGCTGCTCTACTGCCACGTAGTCCACAAATGACTCAAAGACTAGAGAGAGACAGAGACAGAGAGAGACAGAGAGAGCGGTCAACCACAGCCATCAGCGAGCCTCAGACAACAGTACAGCCAGCCCAGGCTGTCAGCTGGTCTAGGTGTACCATTCCCACTACCGCTGCCTCCTGCCGAGGTGCCAATTCCGACCCACAGCGCCCCAGAGGGCTTCCAAGGCTGTCATCTATACCAAGCAGAAGGCCAAGGCTCTCTTCCACAGAGTGGCTGGAGGGGGCCCAACCACCCACCTTTATCAGCAGAGTGCTTTAACCACCACACCACCAGGGCTCCTTCCCATGTATATATACGTTTATCTTCTTTTCTCCAATATGTATCTATTTACGTACAAACAGACATCTCACATGCACACGCGCGCGCACACAGAAAGATGTGACTGCATCCGCGACCTCTAATTCTTACTCTCTGCTAAAGACTGTAGTTCAATGTGTGGCCACTACTCACTTCACTAACCCAGTGACAGGTGTGGACGCTAGGGACATGGGTACATTTCTTAAGGGCATTATAAATGGAAACAGGGGAGGGAAGACTCAGGGTCTAAATGACATCATCAGGTAACAGTGAAGCGCCAGCTGTTGTCAACACACTTCTTTCCAGGCTACAATTCTGTGACGGTGTGAGAACAGGCCAAGGGCAAACCACCAGGCCAGAAACAGACTCACACGACCATCATCTGAATGGTGACTGATGACAAGGGTGCCGAGCTAGGAGGAAGCCATGTGGGGAGGGGGTGCGGGCAGATCACACATGATGTCCTAGCACACACAGAAAACTCTCCAAATGGATGGCACTTTAACAGCACAGACAAACCAACAAAGGTTCTACAAGTGAACCTCAGGCTACAATGACTATGAGACCAGAAGAACTAGGTGGTGCCCAGCCACCACTGTCAACCACTCAGAAAGGGATCAGTGTAAGAGATCCCAGATAGAGTGGGGGAAAAATGTGGACCAAAATTCACAGTCATAAAAAAGACCAGGCTCACTGGTCTGATAGAGCCTGGTGAGACCCCTGAGACTACGGCCCCTAGTTACCCTTTGGGTCTGGAACTGAACTCACTCCCGTGGCTTCCAACCAAACAACAGACAGGCATATGGGGTGAACATTTACATCAAGTAGATACACTCCTTAGAACGATCAGTCATGGGCGAACAGAAGGGCAGCGTTTGCACAGGGAGACAGCTCGGGTGGCAGGAATGCACAGGAAAGAAGGACACAGGGAAGAGGTTAACTACAGGGAGGGAGTGGGAAGAGAGCTGTTACATCATAGGGAACTCATAGTCAACGTCATGAAACAAAATGTGTATGAACTACCGCATGGAAAACGAACTTGCTCTGTAAACTTTCACCCCAAATCACAATAAGAATTTTTCAATTCTTAAAGGAAAAAGTCAACAAAGGTTCTAGAAGATCAGCAAACACCTGTGATTTCAGAATAGGCAACAATGTCTTAGGACCCAAAATGCAAAGGTAGATGTGTTAAGCTTCCATAAGAATTAAGAAATTCTGTTCAGTGAATGGCAGTGTCGAGAGTGCAAAGGCGGCCACACACTGGAAACCCAGAAGAGAGCTCGCACCAGAGTGTGGGAAGAGCGCTTCCCTTCCGGTCATGATGGGGGCGCAGGAACTGGACTGCCAGCCCCGTGCAGCACGGGTGAACCTCACAGATAGAACACTGAGCAGAAGACACGAGCGACACAGGCTGCATTCCACAGGCTGCCACTCACACACACACCGGAGCCACACAAGGCGAAGGCGCTCAAACAGGGCCTTCCTCTGAGGGAGGTGGTGATGGAGAAGGACCAGGCGGGACGTCTACCTGCTGTCACGCGTGCTCTCTCCATCTGCGCAAGCGTTACAGGCCCGTGTTCTTTCGGGTACTTTCCTGTGCTATGGTGGTTTCAATATACAGTCTCGTTTAAAGCGCAACATTCAACCAAAGCAGAAGATATCAAAAGCTCCTACCGTGGTACACACGACACTTACTGTTTTTCTTTCCTTTTATACTTAGCTGGATATCATAATAATCTTCTCTTCTATCAGACCGATAGTCTACGTCTTTACACTGGATGTAGGACTACCAGGAAGGAAAACAAGATGGCTTCAGTACTGGTGATAAAACAACCAATGACTCTTTTTAAAGTATTTGAAAAATCACTCTTTAGAACTGGTCATCACATACCACCATTTTGCCTCTGAATAATTTAGGTATGGTGCCTTCTACACACGTGCCTTTCATCTTATTTTCCACGTTATCAAGCAACTGAAAGAGAAAGTTTCGGCTTGAAAAACAAGTATGTTAAACTAATATACAGTAAGTTGACAACAATATATTTAGAAACTTGACAAGGACACATCAATGGCCAAAGACATTCTAGACTATAAATATCATGACCCTTGGCATGCAATTATCAAAAACATACAAAATCGTCCTCAGTTGGATATTTAAAAAAAAAAATTAAAAAAAAAAAAAAAATCTACATGCAACAGCTGAGATTAAGGCCTTCAGACATCCTTTGAAATGAATTAGTACCCTGCAGTGCCCTTAGAAGCACTTCATAGATTCAGTTTACCTCTGTGGGGAATCATGTACATTGATTACTAAACTTAACTCGTAATGGTCCACACACCAAGAGATTAGTGAGGTTGAGCCTGTCAACAGGATTGACTGGTTTGTCCATGGATATTTAATGAACTGGATTCAATCCAGCTAGTGCTGCAAAAAAGAAAACACACCTTGCCCAGCCAATCACCTTGAATAGCCACTGTGTGTGTGTACATGCGTGTAGGTGTCTTTCTGATGGGACAAAGACGGTACAAATGGAGGGTCGCGGAGGACAACCCTGGAGGCTACGGAGCATCAACGGGAGTCACTACTCTACAGCCATTTCAGGCAATCGGGGCGGCTGCCTACGTCAACCCACTGTACCTGACTAACTCCGGTCTTTGTACAGGTTGGATGGCTATTCAAACACAAGCTTCCCTGAACTCTTGGAGCCATTATTCTTCTTGGCATTCTCTCTGGCTTTTAGCTAGCTGTTAGCCTGGATTCTGTCCTCAACAAAGATGTGCGTTTAAACGAGAGTGACGTGAAGTAGCTTTGAGTTTTACTGCTGACACTGCTGTGAACACCAAACGTCAGAACTATACGGTTACTGCTGGGCACTTACCACGCGACACAGCTCTTGAACATCGTGCTGCATGAAGCTGTCTAAAGTCTCCCACCTTGGAAAGAAAAGGAGCACCTACATTTAAACTGCCAAATTCCAAAGGAGAGAATAAATTAAAAGTAACTCGGGTTAAAAAACACCAAACTGTGAGTAATCAACCATTATTCTTAAGTTCACTTATTTTTTTATGAAGATTATTCAGGGAGAGGAGTTATCATTCAAGAAAAAAAGAGCCCTGGCGGCACAGCTGTTAAAGCACTCGGCTGCTAACCAAAATTGGCCGTTCAAACCCACAAGCCGCTCCGAGAGAGAAAGATGTGGCAGTCTGCTTCTGCAGAGATTCACAGCCTGGGAAACTCTATGGGGCAGTAATGCTCTGTCCTATAAGGCCCGGTGAGCAGGAATCTACTCTACGGCAGTGGGTTTTGGGTTTACAATTCAAGGATAAATTGAATTCATCAGGGGCTACCCCAGTGCACCCAACTTTTGCATCTTGCTCTGAAAATCTTGGTGCTGGCAAAGTGGTGGCTGGAGTCCATGTTTGTACATTTCACTATTACACCTGCTCTTTTCTTGAGAACTGTAACTGGCAACTCATTTCCGAAACAAAATTCTAAAACCATGCTTCCATTTTCAAAGAAGTGAAACAAGATATGAGGGTCAGTGGGACAGTGAGACAGCCAGGCCCCCGCACTCAACGCCTCCCTCTCTCGTCTCCACCCCTCACCCACAGAAGGAAAGCAACAGGTGGGGACAGGAACCAGACAACACAGCTACCCACCCGAAGGACTTGGTGAGCTTTTTGGTTCCCACAGGCTTGTCACTGTGCTGCAGTTCGTAGAATACTCTCTGCAGAGCCAACGGGACACTCTTGGACGAGTCATCACCCTCTGTTGGCATCATGTACACCGCCTTAAAGAAGCAGTTTAGAAAGAAAAATTTACTTGTCATTCCTAACACCTGCAGTGGAATAGTCAGGAATAGCCTGGTCAGGAACACTGTTGAAAACTCATGCAAAAGTCAAGGAATTAACAAAAATTTTTAAAACTGCCCATAGCTGACCACCCAAAGACAACGTCACTCTTACTTCATACTGCTTCTTAGCAAACCATCCTTAAGTTTACCGTTACTTGCAAACAAAAGATTCCATGAAAACTTACATGCTGCTAAAATGATCAATGTCTAGCGATCCCCATTACTGGCCGTGGTGTAATCCTGCCCAGTGATTCCCGTTATTGGCTGTGGGTGTAATCCCGCCCAGCGATCCCCATTACTGGCTGTGGGTGTAATCCTGCCCAGTGACCCCCATTATTGGCTGTGGGTGTAATCCTGCCCAGTGATCCCCATTACTGGCCATGCTGTGATCCCTGTTCCTGGCCATGGTGTTATCCTCCTGCCCAGCGATCCCCGTTCCTGGCCGTGGTGTTATCCTCCTGCCCAGCGATCCCCGTTACTGCCCATGGGTGTGATCCTGCCACAGTAATTCACACTGACTGGAAGGATTCTGCAAATCTAACGTGAGAAGCCACCAGCAAACAAGCCTGCTTCTGCCCCACACTGCTCACAGCAAATTACTCAGCACAGAGACCTATTTATCCCACATTATGCTCAAAGGTCTGGTTTATTTTTACTAATATTCTTTTTAAAGTAAGCTGAATCTGTCATAATTAATCACTGAATTTTGCAGCCGGTAATTTTTCATGGAGCTGACTTTTCACACGTTGCCACCAATGGCTTTTATGTTACAAAACCAGCAGCACCACCTCTGTACGTGAAGGTCACTGAGGAGACCATCAAAGCGCAGCCTGTGAAATGATGGCTGTGATCACCCGAGTCAGCTTAAAAAGCAGGTGGCGGAGGGCACCCCGGGGAATAAGAACAAGGAGCACCCCTGGGGTGTCTCCCTGGGGCAACGGGGCTCGGTGCTCTCGAAAGGGGACCCTGGGAAGGCTGCTGAGAGGGCTCTGCTGATCCCCTTCACCCACCTGAGCGAGGAGGGTGAGTGGGGGGCCGGAGGGGAAACACCTCCATTTACCTTTCGCAGCTGATTCGTGAAAAACAGAGTCTGCAGCAGGCTGTTCATGTAGCAGGTCGCGCCCTGATTCTTTAACCCCACATAGCCCGTGTGCTTCTTTGAATCCCACCTGAAAAGACGAGTGCGAGGTGGGAGGTCAAGGGCAGGGCAATTCTGAGGTCCTGGGTCAACAGCACTGGGATTCCAGGGGTTAGCCTCGGAAGCTCACCAATACACCATGTGGCCCAGGTAAAATGTGTGTGCATGCACAGATAATTGAAAATAATTAATTAAGAAATTTTAAAACACAAGAGTCCTGAATTTAAAACAGGTGGTTGTTTTAAACCACACCCATGAACAGATTTTGACAAGACTGAACCCAGAAATCATTTTTTAAGTGGGGAGGCAGATTCCAGTCCAAGGTGCCTCACAGGCACCACCAACAACCAGAAACACACAACGCGTGAATGTCCTCAAACCCCCCACCCGTCAGAAACCTGCTGCACTCCAACACGCTTGAACCCACTGAGCACAGGTTCTGAAACACCCCCCGGGCAGATCTGACGCCTGCTCTTCAAGCTGAACGCCACTCGGTTAAAAGGAGGGCTGATAAACCCCAACAGCGTGCTTGACCTGGATTCCATGCGGGAACTCTGGGGTAGGGAAGGAGCTACCGTGAGGCACGTGAGGACAGGGTTAAACTGCTGTCAGGTGACGCACGCACCCTGTGGTCTCCAAGCTCAGGCATCGCCCCTGGGACCAGTTCCCCAGGACTCTAGCGTCAAGCTATCCAGTACCACAGCACACGGTGCACCACGTGCAGGTGTGTGGGGGAGGAAGGATAAGGAAGGGCTACAGGATGAAAACTGGGAGCACGGCAAAAGACTGTCACACCTTAAAATCATCCCCAAACACTCTAGGACTGGCTACTTGAGCATCCTCATGCACTGCCTTTGGGACTGGAGATGATCTTTTGACCTGATCCCAACCAGAGAGCATCTCCCCACCTACGGGCATCACTGTCCCCAGTGAGACGACCACCCAGGGGGAGTGCCATTTGATTATTACACAGCCCAGACAAGCGAGTGAGTGAGACAGGGAAACCTACCGCAGAGAAACGGACCTGCGCAGGATCACTGCATAAAACGATCTCAAACACCCACATGGCTCCTGCCTATGATCCGCCCTCTGGGAATCCAGAGGTGACTCTCACACACAGTGCCACCAGCAGCGAAGGAAAGCACACACTTCACAGGAAGCCCCCAGCTCCAGGTGTACCCCACAGCTGTCCCCAGGCCTCTACAGGAAGGGTCAGCTGACTCCTTTTGTCTCTGCACCTAGTTCTTCTGGGCCACTCAACATCACAGTCCCACCAGCCTTACCGTGCCCTCTGCTCACTTCCTGGGTCTCCAGTCTCCTCCCACCCAGGGTTAGCGCCAGATCCCTCTCCCAGCCCCACCAAGTCCTCGCTGGCACAGCCCAGGTGCCTCACCTCAAGAACCCACTGACGCATCCCCAGCCTGCCCGGCCCCACGTGGGCCTGTCTCTCCTGTATTCCGTCTTCGCCCTACAGTCCCCTTCAACTCGACTCTTTCCCTGTGCTTCTGGCCCCTCCAGTCCGATCGCACGGTGGCCTGGTTGTGCAGGTCCTGCCCTCTCCTCTGTGTTCCCAGAGCCACAGTTGCCATGACCTGCCATCCCACCCAGGTACCGCGTGCTCACATGCCAGAGTAGAAACAACACGGGAAGACGGGGGTAGGCCATCCAACCCCTTCCTATCCTACATAGTACTTTAGTGTCTCACTCCTGGGCAACCACTTTCAAAAAGGGGCTTTCTAACACCTTGAAGGAGTGAGTCACTGGGTCAAGAAGCTAAGTGGCAAAACACACTACACAACAACATTATTCTGCAGCCTACTTTGGTGAGTGGCAAAAGGGGTCCTACGAAAGTTTGTGAGTGGCCACCTAAGATGCTACAATTAGTCTCTCCTCGTCTGGAGCAAAGAGTGAAGAATATTCAAGATGCCTGCAAACAACCAGTGCAAGGGACTTGTGAATCATGGGAACGTCAGCCTCCATGATCCTGAGACCCGAAGAACTAGATGGTGCCCAGCTACCGATGCCAACAACTCAGAAAGGGATCAAAATCGGAGGTCCTGGGAAGAGAGAGAGAACAAAGAGGAACAAAACTCAAAATCATAAAAAGACCAAGCTTACTAGCAGACTGGTGAAATCCTGTGACTACGGCCCTTGTCACCTTCAGACCTAGAACTGAACTCACTCCCAGGACTTAACTTTCTAACCAAACAACAGGCAGGCCTGTGAGGTGACCCATTTCAGGGAGATGCACTCCTCAGAACAACAACCATGGGAGATGAGAAGGGCAGCGTTTGCACAGGGAGACAGCTCAGGGGGCAGGAATGCACAGGAAAGAAGGACACAGGGAAGAGGTAACCACAGGCAGGAAGCAGGTAGAGAGCAGTTACATTGCAGGGAATGCAATCATTGTCATGGAACAAAACATGCGTGAAGTGCTGAATGGAAAACGAGTACGCTCTGTAAACTTTCACCCAAATCACAATTTTAAGAAGTCCCTCGCACACACACACACCCAAGCCCACGGCAGCAGAGCCTCCTCCCAGCCCTCCTGCGTCTGTCCCCACTCACGCAGCCCTTCCTCCTCCATCCCTCATCAACCACAGACCCAATCTCGGATGCACTTCCAGGACAGAAACGCCACCTTGAGTAGACTCCCCCGAGCACACTGACACCCCCCTGATCACATGAGCCTGCCCGCGATTCCCAACTCGTCCCCACCCCCAACCTGCACACGCGCATGTGCCAGACTTTACATCCCTGCTGCTCAAAATAAAGACACAAGCTCCTCGGCTGCAGTTACGCCTGCAGTGGGCCTGACTGCGCCACGGTCTGAAGTTCTCAGAGGACGGGAAGCCATACCCTGGTGGTGCCACCAGTGCCTAGCACCGCGTCTGGCATGTGGCCACTGCTATGTTTGTGAGAGCAGGAAGAGGAGGTGAGGTGGGCACCGTGAGCACGGTGCAGGCACGTGTCACCTCCCTGTGAACAGCGTGCACGTGTGCTGACAAGCAAGCACGGAGGGCTCGTCCGTAGGACATGTGCACCCCTGCTAAATCCAGGCCAAGGTGCACGTCAGCAAACGACCCCTGGAACATTCCCCAACTCAAGAAAAACTTACGCAACTCCATGTGGGGCATCCGCCTGTACAAAGACTTCAAAAGTAACTTTGTCGTCATCAATGAATCCTTTCTCAGGATCAGTCACTTCCTATGAAAAAGAAATAAGGATATCCAACTTGCATAAGAACAATGGACACACACTCTCCTCCAGCAATATTTCAGGACCCTGAATTTAATGGAGCAGAACCGTAACTCCTCACACCCACCACTTCACTTCTAGTTCTCAAGTGTCTTGATTTATTCTCTGGGTTGAGCAAAAGCATGGCTCTTCCAGGAGGGACCCTGGGGCATGAAGGGCCTAATGCCAGTGTGTGTGTGGGGATGGGCTGGCGGGGCCGCTGTGCCTATCCACCTGTGTGCATGGGGCAGGGAGGGGGGGGTTGGTGAGCTAGAGGAGCCACCGTGATCATCCACCTGTGTGCACAGGCTTGGAGAGAACACAGACTAGAAGGCTAAGTAGTGACATCACCAAGAATGTTCTTAGTGGTTGCTGCCTCTGTAAAAAGTGGCCAAAAGGCACAGACCTGAGACTCCATGCAGGTTCATGGACTTGCCCAGCACTTGGCCTGAGCAGGGAGGGGCCTGACAAGTACTACATTTCTTTAAAGGAACCTTTGCTCATGAGGAGTGCCACACGCTGCCTTCTGGTATCTGGCTACAAGTAAAGACTGGATTCCAGATGCTCCCCCAACCTAGGCTAGGAAACTGGAGCAAACGCATTTTCACCAACTCCTGCCCAACTCATCAGGCAAATGTCATGAATCAAAATCAACGAGGTAAAACGTGTCTGAACTGTTCTACGGAAAACCGATTTGCTCTGTAAACCCTCACTCAAATCACAATAAAAAGTGAAAATGCTCCCTGCCCCCACCCCCCCACCAGAGGGACTTAAAGACTAGAAAGAACGGGGCAGGAGCAGTATCGCTCGCTCAGCTAGTTCAAGCGGAGCCCACAGCTACTCACGCTCCAGGCCATGAAATTGGAAAAGCCCCAGTCGTTCTCCTTGTGGAAGAAGAGGTGACTGATCCGGCGGCTGAAGGACTTCTCGTCATCTCTGTAGTTGATTATCTTCAGCACAGCCTGTGCGTGACAAGACCATGACCTGTTGAAAGACAAGGACAGCCTAAGCCTTGGCTGACACGTGTGACTCAAGTTTCCAGATTTCTGGAGACGTGGAAATTCCGACTTGCGCTGTTGGCTTGCTTACTTCCTTTGAACTTTGTCTTGTGGTTTTGGTGAAAGTTCACCGTCTTGTACTTTCTTTCCTTTCTTGTGGGGGCTCACATTTAACCTTTGATGGAGAAAGATACTCAAAGGGTTTAAGGACCCACGTGTGATCTGCAGTGTTCTGATGCACAGTGTTACTTTTTTTAAAACAAGCTTTTTATGCCTCAACAGACTTAACCTGAGATTTGGTTTGTTTTCTTTTTCTTTAGTAGCTATACAGTATCAGGTTTCTGAACTTTAAATGTTAGTCTGAGATTCTGCAGAAGACAAGCTTTTGACCAGCTAATAATGCCAGTAGACTCTGGTAGCGTGGTGCCTAAGGCATCTCAGTGCTAACCAGAGGGTCAGTGGTTCAAACCCACCAGTCACTCTGCAGAAGGAAGACCAGGCAATCTACTTCCGAAAAGATTTATCGCCTCGGAAACCCAATGGGGAGTGCTATGAGGTGGAACTGACGCAAGTTTCTTTTTTTTGGAATAGTTCTAGTACTTAACGTAGACATAATTTAAAAAGAATAGAAAAGGAAGAGTGGTCACAATGCTTTGTGTGGTAGATGAACCAATGAAAAGCTCTAGACTCTCCTGGCAACGCTGTCCTCTCCAGGTGTCACTTCTGTCCCTGCAGGTCCTGTGGCTGACAGGTCCTCTGGGCAAGCCAGCTGACATGCATCCACACAGGAAGACCACGGACACACAAGGCTCCCGGTGGGACTGGGTCAGCTCCATGACCTGGTGACCATCCTACCCAGCGTCTGAGAGCTCTGGACACTGGCATCAAACCACAGCCCCCGAAGAGCTGACCCTGAAGTAGCTGAGCAGGGGTCAGACCACCCAGGCAGCTCTGGATCAATTTTAAAATGTTTAACAACCCAGAAAGAGAGATCACTTTCAAAAGCCACCAGAGTAAGGCTGGCCGTGACAACAGGCCTTTCTGTGTCTGCCTCGAGCACTGCGCTCTTGTAAGACCCAGGAGGTCAGACAGACAATGGGAACTGAAGACGAGACAAGAGACCCAGGGGCAGTGAGTACATGTCAACCAGCAAGGAACAATCCGGAAAAGGAGGGTGAGAATGGTTGCACAGCTCAGAGAATGGGGTCAGGGCCACTCACTGTCCCCGAGACACAGCTGGACTGCTGCACGCTCTCCGCGTCTAGGCTCACACCGAGCACTTCAAATGCTGACTCAGGCGTCAGACTAACTCAAGTCCAGCCCCCACACCCAGCAGATCGGGGGAAACTTAACCTACAGACAGCCCGGGGCTGCGTCCTAAAACTGGCCTGGCACAACCTGAAGGTGGCACAACCTGAAGGTTAAAGTAAAATAAGAAAACAGAACGAATCAGGGGCTGGAGCCAAGCAAGGGCTCCAAAAGCAACAATCTGGGAGGAAGGGGACCCAAGCCCAGCTGAGCCTCACGGCCTCCCTGCCTGAGAAAGAACGGACAAGTGGCCCGTGAGGCTCAGACGATCTGTCAGCTGGGCTGCGAGAAGGTGACAGTGACTGCTACTGACCGAGGGGCGATTCGGGAATGCCTGACTAACACCAGCAGGAAGAAAGCCTGATTACTCACGAAAAGGTAAACTTTCTAACCTACAGTTTCACCTGCACGGGCCAAGACTATCTCAATTTCAAGACATTATATATTTTAGAAATTATATGAGTTATTTTTCTTTAATAAGTCAGGAGCCCAAGTTATAACACCCTCAAAAAACATTTTAATTCTTATTTCCTGAATGTTGTGGCTGTTACTGGCCCTTGGCCAACTCCAACTCACGGCAGGCAACCCCCCGTGTGCAGAGCAGGACCGTCCACGGGGCTTTCACAGGCACAATGGCTAGACTGGCTGCCCAGGTGGCCGCTGGGTGGGTTTGAACCCTGCAGTCAGGAGTCAGCACTAAGACAGTCTGTGCCACCCAGACTCCTTTGTTCTCTAAATAACCGTTCTGATTAGTGATCACACAATGAGAAGCGTCAACAGCCTGGGAACTTCCCATGAAACCTAGCACTCTCCCCTCAAGCCCTTCCTGGGAGGGCAAGATTCAAGGCCAGTGACAAGCTGTCCCCTGGGCTGGCACATTCTGACACATGGAGTCTTTCATTTGCTCACGTGCTCTACACACACGTGCGCACCCACACACACACGCGTGCACACACACACCACACACGCACCCACACACGCGCACGCACGTGCTAACACTTTTCTAGTTTGGATATAATACCTACCAATGGGTTTTAAAGAAGGGAATCTATTTAATCCAATTATAAAACTAAAAGAACTATGTGGCCGCAGTATGGGAAAAACTGGTGCCTGGCCGATCAAATGTGGCTTCCAATTACATAAGAGAACCATCGTGCATTTGTAAATTCAACATTTAAGCGGTCTTACGTGGAATCAGATTCAGCATTGCACTGCAGAAAGAATCCTACGCTCTTTTGGTGAGGTCTGTCTGGATAGAAGCGTGGCATCACCATAATCTTCCACGGCAGATTTCGCACAAAGCACGGGGGGCTCAGGACCGACTCACTCAATCTGCTGAAGCGCTCGACAGTGAACTGAAAGGTGGCCTCAGAGCGCCAACTCGTGTCTGCAAGAAAACATGGCGTCAGTCACAGAGACCGGAGCAGTTTCAAACAAAGCTCACAGTACCAACATCACCACAGCATCCAACAGCCTGTGCAACTGCAGTGGAACTGAGGAAATTCAACTCTAGGAAAAATAACGGATCGTCTCCAGTCTGTTAACAGCCTAAGAGCAGCAAGACAGCACTAGTTTCTGTATGAAGGGACACTGACTTATGAAATAAAAACTCAGGGGGCCAACAAGACACCCTGGCCACCCCACACACATTCAAGGATGCATTATGGGAGGACTGTCTACACTACTGTATCTTATTCCACAGGAATCCTGGGCAACAAGTGGGCACAGAGACTGTGGAGGAAAGGCAGGCAATGGCCCCAGAGACCTGGGCAAGAACAGGACTTGGGGAGGCAAAGACAAGGACTCGAGCCTTGGGTGGTGTCTGGAGAAGAAACACGGAGGGAGTGTGGGACGCTGACGCGTGTAAGGGACACTCCCTAGAAGCACAGCCCTGGTTGGAGGCAAGAGGCTGGCTAAGAAGTTGGTCTGAAAACAAACATTAATACCATCTGCTCACCATTTCTGTGCAACCCCAGCTTAGACTCCCTGTGGGGGACCCTACACCCGAGACACCGGGGCTTCTCCCCGTGAGCAGTGTAAAGGCTGGACATTAACCAGATGGAAGGCCATTAAGGCATGATGGTTCCTGCTAACAGAAAGCAAAGTGACCAACACGGTGCCTCTCGGTCAACTTGAAGTCAGTTTAAAACTCCGCCTTGACTAGTTGCTGACAGTGGCTTGTACAAACCCAGCAGGGTCTCAGGCCACACATCAATGCTCCTCAAGCTACCTTCACAAAGAACACTCCTTTCACCCCCACACTCCCCGACACTGTTATAAACACGGTAAGATCACTGCAGCATGGTCAGATCGCTACCTAAGTTTCTGAACGCCTTCTGTTACTTTTCACGTCTATCCTGTCACAGTGGGGACAGCTGGCCGACTGGCATGGGACCTGGGCCACACTGGACGAGCGGTGCTTCTATGCACTAACAGGCAGTGCTGACAGGCACTTCCTGGTTTCCCATTGGTGCTGGCTTGGCCCCCGACTCCTCAAGTGGAGTGTGTCCACAAGAACACCCCCACCTTTGTCCTCAGGCCCAGAAGGCAGGCCAGGCGGGATCTGTATCCCTCAGGCCCCAAACACAAGAGAGTTCTCCGTACCCACCACTTCTCAGTGGGCGGAAATGGCTCCCAGTCCGTGACTGCCCGAATCTGTACAGGGTGGTGGTCCTTACCAAAGAAATAAAACCAACAGTGGCTGTGAGTCTGCCCAGCTCAGCAGAGCCATTGGTCAGAAGAGCAAGGCGGGGGTCCTGGCTAAGAGAGGAACCACTGAGCAAGCCTCTGGCTGATGGCAAGAAGCGTGCGTGAGGAAATTCCATCCAGAATGACATGGGAGAGAGGCTGGCTGTGTTTCTCGGACACGCGGCTCCCATTGGAGCATCCCTCAATCACGCGAGGGCGGCCAGGCGGGTGCCAGTTCACAGGTGAGGAAACAGAGGCTCACCGAGCGAAGGGGCTGACGTGCTTGCTTCCCAGCACGACGACAGGGGCTCGACGCCCAGGGTCTGCTCACAGCCAGGGCCTCAGCTCGCCTCCAAGAGCGCTCCAGTGTGAGCGGGCCTGCTCCAGAGACCGGGGAGCTGGAGGCAAGGCGACGAGATGGAAACCACATGGCCCGCCCCTCCTGGCGCTACAGCCCCGAGGCCGCCAGGCGCATCTGCTTGTTTCACACTGACCTAGCCTCCTGCGGGATGGCGGTGTCAGACACAAATGTGACGCACTACAAAGAAAAGGTTCGTACTTCAAGTTCCTGAGCTACCCCTCTAACAGTCAACGGGCCCACACAACGGTGGACCTCCAGGTGGCACGTGCCCACCAGGCGACAAGCCCCTCCTCAGTAGGGCCCACACTGGGTCCCACGGCCTGGGGCCAGCCTGGCAGGCAGCGCTCATTCTTGCCCCTTCAGTCATACAATCAACTCCCTCACATTGCAGGTACCTTCTGAGAACAGGCTTCTCTCCAGGTATGCTAATGAGGAAGTTCAGGGTCAGATTTAATAGGAATAAAATTACCCCCAGTGGCTTTACACTCTTCAAACTAATAGAATAACTAAAAAAAACTCCATTAAATACCAGGTCAAAACAGGAGGCCAGTCAAAAACAGACACAGACATGAAATCCACCTCTGGCGGGAGGCTGCTCTGAGTATCCTCCTGTGAGGACATGAGTCTGACCAAGAAAGGCCTTTGTCCAAGAAAACGCAGAAACGATACACGGTATTCTAAGCACTACTTTTTAACTCCCTGTGAACCTGTATTTTTAAAAAGACCCAAAAGAAAAAAGAGAAAGTACCCTTGGAATGATCAAGGGTGCCCTGAATCCTACAGAATTGAGAGTCCACCCAAATGGAGGCTCTTAGCACCTGGACCCCGACATGAACAGAGTTTACTTCACTACTCCGCGTCTCCTTTCACTGGAAACAACAGCATGGTGACCACCGCCATCAGACACACACATTTGTCTCCTGGACAACCCGCTGCCTTCCAGTGCCGCCTCTGGCGAACCTTGGAGCAGTACCAGCTTTCAGGGGCACCAAGCTGCCCCGGTGCCCAGTCTAACACCTTCATAAGGCAAAGGCCAATGTACCGGCCTGGGCTTTGGTTACATGCAGACACTAGAGAAGGATACCATGCTTTGGGCTTTTAAATCTAAAAGGTCAGCCTGAAGTCATCCCAAACAACCCTCATGCAGTCATTTCACCAACACCGTGACCGCTGAGTCTAACGCAGGCCTTTGAAAATCCCAGTTAAGTCCCAAGCCCCTAGACCCAGGTCCACCTGGCTCAACAGCAGCTGCACTCACTCTACAACCTCCCGATCATCCACGGAGGGCAAATGCGAAACACAGTGTGACTGAGGCACGGTTCTGATACCTGCCCAGAATTCTACGTGAACAGGCTGCTGGGTTGGTTCTTTTTTCTTTCTTCTTCTTTTTTTTAATGTTCCCTGGCTCAACCACACATTATTCTAATCCAGTCTCAAATTTCCCTTTACAAAGAAAGAAGGCTTCTCTGCACCCCAGTCAAGGTCCTGACAACTTGGGTCCACAACAATCCTAAGCTAGTGCTTCCCAGATCAGGTGTCCTAATTTGAGATGTTAAACGGAGATTCGGGGATGAAGGGAGGTTCTGAAGTCCAAGGTCTCAGGGAATGGATGAAAGTCTTCCGGAGAAGCACTGCATGTTAGCACAGTGAAGGCTCTCAGAAGTCCTGCCGTAGAGGAAGTTCCTTAACCCAGCACTCCTCGCGGTTTGCAGAAGCCCATGCACTGCACCGCGCCCTTCTCATACCCTGCAGAACCACGCTCCCCGTGACACACGTCGGCTGGAAAACGCGGACTGAACCACAAGTTCTGCTCCTAGAACCAGAACCCTCTTCCTCCCTCCCTGAAAAGAGGGGAAATGGAAGGAGAAAGCATCCTTTCCCTGCGTGCATGCAAACAAAATAAATGATCTTTGCAGCAGGTTCTGCCCTGCCATGAATCTGCAGGATCTCTTCACTCCCTTACTCTTCCAGCCTTTCCAAGGCCCCTAAACTCCAAAAGGAAGAAAGGCTGCTGTCAACCGCTCCACCTGTGCCTCTGAGGGGCTTTCCATTTAAGAGCTCACAACAGGGGCACGTCCACCTCCAGGTCCTGCGGTGTGACACCATCACTTACCACTAGTAACTTGGCAGAGTGTGTCTCATGAGTAAGGAGATTTTACCCACACTGGGCCCATTATCACTGATTCCCAACCACCAACCACTAGGTGATTCTGGCTCCAGGACATCGGCAATACCTAGAGACATTCTGGTTGTCACGGGGTGTGCCGTGTGTATGTGATACTGGCATCCTACAACACACAGAACAGCCCCCTGCAGCAAAGCATGACCTGACCCGAAACAACAACAGTGTTGAGGAGCCTACCTTCTACTGACATCCATGCATCATCCCCACCACTCTCCACTCCCCCCACCCCATGAACAAACTTGCACAGGAATGCTCATGTGCAGCTGCTCTGCGGAGATGGCCTGAGCGTGCTCTGACTGGGCCGGGCCAGCTCCCGCTCCTCAAGGGACGAGAAGCGATCCTGGCCTCACGCCGTGTACCTCAGGCCTGGCCACGCCTGCCCAGATGCGCTCTCTGAACCACTTGTGGCATCTCTGGCGTCTGACGTGAAACCACATCAGCCCAGCGACCGGAGAGCACACCCACACCGCTGCCCTCTGTGAGGAACGCGCACTCCACAGGTAACAAAGCTGCGGGGTTGAGACCACGCCTCTTTACCTTCCTCAGATATTGCCTCAGCCAGCTGCCAGGGGGAAAGCGCCCTGTGAGAGAACTCAACTACGGCTGCAGTTTCTCTGGAGGCTGGACTTTGGCAGGAGGTCTGACAGCAGTCCTTCTGGTGGTGCAGCCCGTGACGGGTGGTCTCTCTCAACTCCCCCGTTACTCCCCTGGGAAGGACACAACCCTCATGAGGATCGATGGACACGCTTTCCATAGAACACATTACACGGCGAGATCCCAGGGGGGCTGCTACGTACTTGGGATCCTGACCTCACAAACACGTAAATCATAACCAAGAAATCCCCTCCAGGAGAAAAGTCTTTCCTGGGCACACAACGGCCATGTGTGTACACGCGCCTACGCTCCTTCCAGCAGAAGACACAGACCAAAGTTAGTGTGGGAGAGGAGGGCTCAGAGCTGACCCCCTCCACGCTTCCCGGGAGTGAGCGGGGGGACCACTAGCTACACACGACTGAGGCACACTGCAGAGGATGCAATGGAAAGCCACGCTGGCATCTCAAGGATCTTGCTGCAAACAGAAAGGAGAGGAGAGTAAGATGTGCTTGTCCCGCACGGGACGCCACTCACGGTGGCTGGAAAATGGCATGAGTGAACACCCACTGACTACCAACTCCTGGGTCTCAGGCTCCCCACTGGGCTGGGGGCAGTCAGCTCACCTTGGGATTGGCTGGCAATCTGGGGATTCAAAACCAGAACAGACTTACACACTCTCCTCAGATACAACCTCTTGAAAACTAGCTGCACTTAAGAAACTCAGATGTACTCCAGGAAGGAACACGGAGCACATCTGTCTGTGTTTCCCACAAACGTCCCGCCCACTGCACATAAGCCAGCCCCAGCAACTTACCGTCCTCCATGTCTTCCTCCGTGTTGTTGGGCCCATCACTCAGGGCTACATTCCCGTTGATAACAGGGTTCTGAGTAATCCTGGGTGGATCATCGGTATCTCCAGCTTTTGAGAAAACAAAGAAGTTCAAGGGCATTTACTTTCATGGCCTGGATTAAACAAAGAACATTGTATTTCTATATGAGACCATTTCCAGGCTCTAATAACTTGCAGCTTTACTGTTATAAAAATATCTAATCCAAAAGATGGTCACTACTACTGTGTTCACTAAATAGGAGCTTTTGTTGTTTTCAAAATGTTCAACGGGATTGGAACACACCATCTTATCCACTCCATTTGCAGTATTTAAAACTTTTTTTTTTTATTTTATGTCAAATTTCTTATTTAACTTATTCTCCTATCACTTTCTAATATTCTAGATTTAAGAACCTTTATAACTGATGTGGAGGTACAAATTTTCAATCGTTACTCTATAACCAGTTTCCTACGCATTAAGAACTCCATCCTAGAGAAAATTTTGAGCAGAGTTATTAAATACGTGCAAAACAGTACAGCTTAGAATAAACATTTTAAACTTTTCACCAGACACATGTCGGTGTCTGAAACCCATCACACGGTCATCTAAATGTGTCACCTGACAATTACTGAACAATGAAAGTCAAGTACAAATCCATGCAAAAGTCGAGGAAGAAACAAGGGTGGAGGACTCACTGGAAGATGGCATCCTAAGGGTCCAGAAAGGACCGACAGGCTAGTGAACTGCCTTGTCATTCATTCTACAGGCTCCCTGAAGTCTGGCTGGAAGCCATTACACATCATCATCAGGTGAGGGTCAAAACTTTATGCAACAACTGACACAAAGGAAGGGTAAATACAACTGTAACATTCCCATCACTATTTTTATTCATTAATTCAAAAGGGAGAAAATGCAGAACAGAATTTCAAATTCTCATGAAATCCAGACTTTCTGGAGCCATGGAGGCTGCTTGAACCCCTGAAACTACTGCCCTGAGATGATCTTTAAACTTTAAACCACAAATATCTCCTGAAGTCTTCTTAAAACCAAATAAAAGTTTAGCTTAACTAGTAAAAAAAAATGCCTGCCTCAAGCATTGTGCTTTTTATAGAACTATGTATCTGGTAGCATAGTGCCTAAGGCACTTGACTGCTAACCAGAAGGCTGGCAGTTCAAACCCACCAGCCACTCCTCGGAAGGAAGGCTAGGCAATCCTACTTCTGTAGTGATACTGCCTCGGAAACCCAAGGAGGGGTCGCTATGAGTTGGGACCGACTCGACGGCAAATAACAACAACAACATGTATCTGGGATCCAACAGACAACAGCAACTCCAAAGATTACACAGGAAACTCGGGGGACAGTGAGTTGATGTTAATGGAGGAGGAACAACTCAGAAAAGGAGGGTGAGAATGGTCACACAGCTCGAAGAACAGAATCAATGTCACTGAGCTGTACACGGAGAAAGAGTTGAATTGGTTTTGCTAGGTATATTCTCAGCAACAGATAAATAATCTTTAAAAAACCAGTAACACATAATCTTATCTTACACTGACACAGGTCCATCAAATAAAGAGAAAAAGCCGTGGCAACACTAGGGACATAAATAGGATCTACTGGACAAAAAGCCCACACCTCACGTTCAACCCCACTTTTTCTTCTTCAGGCAGGAGCAGCACATTGGAACAAACGTTGCCTTGTGTTGCAGAGTCGGCGTTCCCTGACATCAGGCACTCTGACAGGAGTTAAGAGTCTTGGGTACAAACAGGAGATGTGCTATTTTAAATAGTAGGTAAGAGTGTGCCTGGTGTCCAAAACGGCAAGGCCTCTCTGCCATTTGTCCTGGCGTGTGGTCTGATTCAGCACCGTGGACAGCACCTTCCCCCCATTAGGCACTCTCCAAACTCGCAAACCATCAGCTTACTCACCAAAACCAGCCTCAACAGATTGATTCCTGGTGGTATGCAAGACAGACTTTTACCTTCCTCTTAAAGATCTCAAACTCCTTAGAGATTGCCAGAAGCCAGGAAACAAGTATTACCAACCAAATTAAGATGAATATTGACATTCATTCTCAATGCTGTCCCAACAGGCTCTTAACGTTGTTTTATTAAAGATTAATGTGCACAATTAAGGTAAAAGTTATCTTGAAAAATAAACAGACATATACTTTTGGGCTGGTTCTACCACCATCACAACCCTCTGACTAAAAATTGAAAAAAAAAAGCTGGAAGAGGAGAAGTAATCAGAGGTATGTTCAACAGAGGGACAGGTAGGAGAGGAATTCTTTTCTGCTGGTATTTAACTAGCCCACACTCTGTAAATACAACATGATGTACTAAAACAAAGAAAAAAATCAAGGACTGTAACTAACACATCTTTAATCTATACCTATCCTCTTAAAACTGTATCAAACAAAAATGTTTTATAAGGAAAAACCTCTATGAAGACATATTAAATATAGCACATTCCACCAATGGAACATTATATAGAAGTTTAACAGAAAAAAGTACTCAGTGTACCTATATGGAAAGTTCTCTAAATTAAAATTAAAAATCAAGGTGTCAAGCAGTTATGTATCACGTGCAATCTTTGTTATAAAAGGGCACGTGCTGGAACAACAACATATGAATTCTCATTCTCCTGTACACACAAAGAAAGGCTGGGCAGACACACAAGAACCTACCAGAAGGTTCTGTAGGGCAGCAGGGGAGATTCGATTGTTGACCGTGTTCATGCAGGCACATACTCACACCACATGAATGTGCCAGAAACCTTAAAATAATGGGCTTGACATGTACTTGATGTGAGTAGTGCCTAAGGCACTTGACTGCTAACCAGAAGGCTGGCGGTTCAAGCCCACCAGCCACTCCTCGGAAGGAAGATGGGGCAATCTACTTCCATAGTGATACTGCCTCGGAAACCCAAGGAGGGGTCGCTATGAGTCGGGTCCGACTCGACAGCACATGACAACAACAATGTACTTGATTTCTTTTTTTTAAGTCGAGTTCCTCAGTTCAGATCTGTCTTATTATAACTGCTTTCAAATAAGACAGGATTTATTGTGCAAAAATGACAAATTGATGTTTTCCTGCCAACAAAACAAGGCACTGCTCCTAAAACAGGAATGTGTCAACGTAAGCTGTCTACACTAAGCTATAGAATTCTACAATTGATTTGTAATTCTGATAATAGAGACAAAGCTTACAGTTTCACAAGGTCAAGTGAAGTCAGACCATAAGATGCAAACATATTCCGAAATCACTGAAGGAAGGTGTCTCTGAGGGATTGTTTCAGTGACCTCTGGCCAAAAGTCAAGGCCATCATAAAAATCATGGTCAATGCGGGAGATCTCCAGCTCACCGTCACAACACCGTGCAGAGTGGAAATGGGAACAAGACTAAGTTCTCCAGTGTTTCCGGCAGGACTAACCGCATTGCGGTGACTGAAGAAAATGCAACATCTTCATTATCGAACACAGGCCCTCGTCCTAGTGGCTAAGGAAGACAGGATTTCCCCGCAGCTCACCCCATCCGGCAAGGGAAGCCATGTTCTACTGTGACCCAGCTTCTCCAGGGCAGCAGCACCTCGTGTCTCCTCCACGCCCAGTTGGACATCCACGCTGGTGACCAGCTCGCTCTTCCTCATCCCTTAAACCCACGGACATGCTGGTTAAGGCCAATGGCTGTCAAGTGACCAGAGTTCACTGGTCAGTCAGCCATGTGTGTGGGGAACACAGTGTGGCCAACAACGGGCCCCACGAAGCTTCCAACCCCCTGCCGAGGGACTTTTACTGAATAAGCTGGCAATTCGAGTCTAGCTCCTGAGGGACTGCGAACCCAGTTAAAAAAGGCTCCTTCGTAAATGAGTTAGTTTATCAAGAGGATTAAAAATTTAATTAAGATATGGTAAATCCCCGGACCAGAAGTAAGTGACAAGAGAGACTAGATCCACACGGTCTGTCCGAGGCTTCCAGAAATATCCTAAACCCTAAGGTGGTAAAACCCTGCCTGCTTTTACTGCCAAAGATGGGCAAGCTAAGCGCAAGGCTGGCAGGTCCGCACACATCATGGCTCCGTACTGTGGCCCCTCCTTCATGCCCCCCTAGGTGGAATTTTCTTGGACATTGTTAATTCTGATTTGGCCAAACATGAGTGAAAACACTTTTTTTTTGACACCAATAATAAGACTGGGAACACATTTCATAAATAGGCAATACACCTCGATGATTTAGACATGTCCCTGACAGGCCCAAAGTTTGTGGGAAAGACTAGGCCAATTAGTATTTCCAAATCCACATATCACACCCAGAAATTCAGCAACAGAGGCAGTTCCTGTCCCTCATGATCGGTGAGCTGTGGACAACAAAGCCTGGGGTGAGACGCGGAGGCCTGGTGTTCTGCGTGCACAGAACACCGTTTCAAGGGCGGCTTCAGAAACACACAACGCTGAGCCGGCCAGGCGCGAGGCCCGCGCTTCCTCCTGTCCCCCCGCGGGTGCTGGTGGCTTCCTCATCCTCAGCTGTTCTTCCCACCAACTTCCATCTGTGACGTCATAACCCCCAGAGAACACACGACAATTGCCATGGACACGAAGGTCAAGGTACAAGTGCAGCATCTGAAAGAACCTCCTTCCCGGACGGGGTAACAGAAAGAAAAAGCAAAACTGTCCATCTGTTGGCTTTGACATTCTGTCATTTCACAAAAAGTTATCAACCTCCGGCAAGCACAGTAAAACCTTGCAGCCACCCAGCGAGAGCCGGGTGCTGCCAGCAGGTGGTGCCTTGGCCACAGAGACTCCCTCAGCTCTGCCAGCTCAGGGCGGAGACGCCACAGCGCGACTCCTCCTCCAATCCCCCTATAGTCACAGAACCTACCGCCAACCAGAGCTCTATTAACACAGCGGAAGCCCCGGAGCACCCTGGCCCGAGGGAGCCGTCCAGCCGCTACCCCATCGTCCACCTTGAATCCAAAGTCAACCCCCCGTGGCTCGGTCCTCTTCTCCTCTCCCTGGGTCTGACCACGCATCTCCCCCCCTCCCTGTGCCTTTTCCTCCACGGGAGGACAGGCAAGTGGCGAAGCAGCATGGCCCCACGGCGGGAGAAGGCCGGCCAATCGACGGCAGTACCGAGGGACTAGCTTCACCACATCAGACCACCTCCCCCAAACCCCTCACCCTTCTAACTTCGTGGAGATGCAATTCGCCCACCTGAGTTCCATCCCCCCTTCAAAACTGGTGACAAACCCTTCCGGCAAGCTTAGCATTCTACATATAAGGTGACTTCTTTAAGTTCAGATCATGACACATCTGAAACCACTCCCAACAAAGCCTACATTCTTCACAAATGACAAAAAGAATTTCATGAATAAACCTTCCAAACACAATTTAAAACATTACTTAACAATACAGGGGTATCGGTATAAATCAGAAAACCAGTGTATAAATGTTTTTTGTGTATAAATTTCAGCCCCATACTAGTTTCCCATCGATGGTCCTAAGTATCTGCCAGGAGGACAGTTTAGAGAGGTGCACGCTGGTCCCCTGAACTCATCGTCCGAGGTGGAACTCACCTTCTCCTCCAAACCGCTGGTTCCCAGCCATGGCCGCATGGCTCTGCAGCAGAATCTACGGGGCTGGGGGAGGGGAGGCGCCTCACGCCACAGCGTGACTGCACAGAACCTCCGGGACCCACCTCACCATTCTTTTTTTTAAAAAAAGCTCCCACGAAATTCTGATGTATAGAACCAGCACTCCATTGAAGCAACTCTGTTAATTTAGGTTAACTGTATCCTTCCAAAGGCAGAACGGCCCAGGAACCAAAGGAGGGCATTAATGGAACTGGTGAAATCCAAAGAGAAGCCTGGAGTTTGGGTAACAGTAATGTTCCAACTCCAGCTTCTGAGTTGTGACGTAAGATGTTAACAATGGGGGAGAATGGACAGAGGAACATATAGCAATGCCATACCAATTCCCTCATACCAACTCTGCAACTTTCCCAAAAATGTAAAATTCCTCCAAAACAAACAGTTTACAAAAAAGAGGCAGAATATTGCCATAAGACCAGAAAAAACAGATGGTGCCCAGCTACCATTACTAAGCATTTTGATCTAAGATTTCATAACAGAATCCTGATCAAAAGGGGGGAAATACAGAACAGAATTGAAAATTCTCTCGGACTCTAGACTTTCTTGAGCCATGAAGAGTGGATGAACCCCACGATAATCTTTAAGCTTTAAACCAAAAATCATCTTTAAAATGAACATTTTCATTAAACTGGAATGTTTGATTGTGTATGTTCTTAACAATAACCAAATAAATAAAATTTAGAAAACATTCAAAAAAGGAGGGGGCAGAATAGAAAATCTGTGAAACCCAAACGCTGTAAAAGTAACTAGCACCAAGCCTGTCGATGAAGGTCTGCAGTGTTCTGCATCCAATACTCACAGTGACCCGTGACAGCAGCAGACTGCCAGGCTTTTTCTCCCAGGGAGCTTCTAGTGGGTTTCACCGGCCAACCCTCCTGTTAGCAGTGACGCCCCTCACTGTTTGTGTCCACGGCCCATTCACGAGAGACAGGGTGTGTGTAATTCCCGCATCTTCTCTGCCCTATCAGCCTGCTTTCATTGAAGTGAAGGATTTTACCCTCCCATCATTTAGACTTGCCAGCAGTAGTAAGAAACACGGAGAGATCCACGAACAATTCAGCCCAGTTCCCCACGGCACCTTCCTGCAAAACCACAGTCTAATATCACAGCCAGGACCCTGGCGTGGCGACAACAGCCAACGCCCAGCAGCTCTCCCCACCCTGACTATGCCCATCTGTTTATGTGCAGTCTGGGCTGTTTCCTCACGGGGAGGTTTGTGGGGGCACCTCCACACACAACACGTGAGTTATGAGGATGACCCTTGGTGCTGCCCTTTCATACCCACATGTATTCCCTCTTGGGCACCCCTCCTTCCACATAACCCGACACTTGCTAACCCTGGTAATTTTGTCATTTCACAAACGTTACAGAAATGGACATACACTATGTAACCTTTGGGCATTACCTGGAAATGCATACCTATTAACAACTTGTAGTGGCACAAACAGCTAAGTGCTCGGCAGCAAACCCAAATGGTGGAGGTTCAAAGCCCTCTAGTGGCTCCCTGGGGAAAAGGCCTGGCAATCTAATCTGCTCCCCGAAAGACTGCCGTGTTGTCGTTATGTGCCATCGAGTCGACCGCTATTCACAGCGACCCATCCTTGGGTTTCCGAGGTGGTACCACTGTTATTATTGTCATATGCCGTTGAGTCGGCCCTGACTCATAGTGACCCCTCCTTGAGTTTCCAAGGCGGTATCACTACAGAAGTAGATTGCCCAACCTTCCTTCCAAGGAGTGGCTGGTGGCTTTGAACCACCAGCCTTCCGGTTAGCAGTCAAGTGCCTACGGCACTATGCCACCAGAGCTCCTAAGGATTCACGGTCCCCCGGAAAGGTGGGTGCACCCAACTGCAATGGCAGGACTAACTCCAGTAACGAAGAAGACACCTTGGTGACACCTTTGCCTAACAAATTTCCTTCCGAGGCAGGAGGGAGCTGGAAAGGAAAGCCAAGTCAGGAGTGCACACCCCCTTCTCCCAGTCAACCTGCTTCTCAGGGGCCTTGGGCCTCCAGGACAGCCAGGAGCCAGACCAAGCACCACACAGACAAGCTCTCTGATCTCACACTTGCTATCTGCTGGGAGGAAACAAGTGAGAATTTCACCCAGTGTCAACTGCCATGAAAGAGCAATCAAGTCAAGGGCGGGGCCCCAGGGCTGGGCAGGGAGCGCTGGCCACCAAGGAGGCAGCATCTGCACAACCTTCTGAGATCCTCAGAGTGGAAAGGAGCCGGCGGAGCCAAGGCCCTGGAAAAGCACCCTGGAGACGGACGGACAGGAGCAGGGCAGCAGGCAAGCAGTGGAGGGATGACATCAGAGGGAAGGGGAGGGGCCACGGCCCAGGGCGGGGGTGCTGCCAGCTCCTCTCAGGACTCCTTCATTCTAAAATGTGTCCCGCCCAGTTCCAGGAAGCCACCTGTGGCCCTTAAGGCCCTCCTCCCCCCATGCGGGTGACCTTGATGTTCAAAGATCAGCCCTCCGGTGCATCAGACTTATCATGCCCACCCCTGCATGTGGTCATGACACTCACGCCTGTCCTAAGTGTCACATGCAGGAGGATCTCAGCAGAGGCCCCTATGCGATTCTACAGAGAACATGGGGAGGACGTGTGATGATCTCCATCCTCAACACTAGTTAACTGGGAGCTGGGCAGCAAGACTCTCAAGGGGACTGGCGCTACTATTTTTTGACTTCATAGTGGCTAAGACACTTGCCTGCTAACCAGACGGCTGGAGGTTCAAACCCACCAGCCACTCCTCAGAAGGAAGGTTGGGCAATCCTACTTCCGTAGTGATACTGCCTCGGAAACCCAAGGAGGGGTCGCTATGAGTCGGGGCCGACTCGACGGCACATAACAACAACAACAACATACTCTGGTTATCTGGCTAATGACTGGCTGGTAACCCACTTCCTATGACATGAGGCCTCTTCTTTGATCCTCTGGTGGCCACTGCTCATCTTGGGGTCAATGCCTGCCCAGCTTCAAGTCAGTGGAGCCTAAACGTACCAAGCTTATTAACATTCGACCCCAAAACACCAAACCCACTGCCGCTGAGTCAATGCCAACTCACAGCGCCCCTAGAGGACAGAGCAGAACTGCCCCAGAGGGTTTCCAAAGGTGTCAATCTTTATGGAAGCAGACTGCCTCATCTTTCTCCCAAAGAGCAGCTGGTGGGCTCAAACCACCAAGTTTTTGGTTGACAGCCAAATGCTTTAACCACTATCCCACCACAGCAATACTCTGAAATAAGCTTCATTTAAATGAGTTATATGAAAATAAAGCCCCCAAACAAAATTGCACACATGTAACGTGTGTTCTTTAAATAAAAGCATTTGTTTGGGGCTTTCCGCTTGGTTTTACTATGTAAACTCATCTATCCCCTAGAGGACTGACCTAACTACCAGATCCAGCCACCACCAGCGACGGCTGCGAGCTGGTGCCAAGGCTGCGCTAGGCGCCAAGGGGAGCAGCAGACCCCGTACATCGCAGGAGCTCAGAACTCCATCTGTGAGGCCACGGTCTTGCTTCACAAAAGAGAATGGGGATTACCTGCTGAACCGTACAGCACAAGGAAAGACAGCCCAGCTCGCCTAGCCAGATACAGGGCTTCGTGGGAGTGCTTGGGGGTCAGAAGTCGTTGGAAAGGATGTGCAATGTGTGAAAGCCACAGGACTTACATTCAAAGTAGAAACCAAATAAAAAACGAACCCACTGCCATCAAGTCAATTCTGAGTCACAGCGCCCCTAGAGGACAGAGGAGAACTGCCCAGAGGGTTTCCAAGGCAGTCATCTTTATGGAAGCAGGCTGCCTCATCTTTCTCCTGCAGAGCAGCTGGTGAGTTCCAATCTTTTGGCTGGCGGCTGAGTGCTTTAACCACTGCACCACCAGGGCTCCTATAAGGAGTTCCTGAAATCCAAGGAGAAACAATCCAACTTAAAACAAAAGAGAAGTCCACAAGAAATTCAGACCACTGACCAATCTGCTCAGTTTCTCTCATCAAGCAGGAGACCAATTTTCAGGTACCAGATTACAAAAGTAAAATACATTAAAAATACCCATTGATACCGAGGGTCTAGCAAAATGGGTGGTGTCCAAGTGCCAGTCAGAGTGTAAATTATCCTCCCCAAAGACAAGTCTTAAGTCTTTATCTAACCCCAAAAGTCAACTATTCTTTCCTACCCAATTTATTTCTAGGATTCCAATCCAGGAAATCCACAAGAACTTACACAAGTTCTCTTTCTCTCTCTCACTGAAGCACAATTTACAACAGAAGAGAAATAAAAAACCTGACACATCCATCATCACAAAGACTACATATTATAGTCATTTCTATGAAGTGTCCCGAACAGGCAAATGGAGAGACAGCAGTGGTTGCCAGAGGTGTGTGTGGGTTAGGAGTGATGGCTATGATAGGTGGCTTCTTTCTCAAGTGATAAAAGGTCCTAAAAAAACTGACTGAGGAGATGGGTCATTTAATATGGGGACAAGTAATTCCACAGGTCATAACTGTTCTTGAGGGCTTTGCTGTAAATGGCATTTGCAACAAACAACTTGTAGTATGTATATGTTTCATTTTCTTCAGTCTCTCCCTAAAATTAATACAATCATACATTTTGGTACAATCCTCTAAAAAATTTAACTCACTGCCATTGAGTCAATTCCGACTTAACAGCAACCCCACTCGGTTTCCAAGGCTGTAAATGCTTACAGAAGCAGACTGCCTTATCTTTCATCTGCACGGCAGCTGGTGGGTTTGAACCATCTACCTTCTGGTTAGCAGCCAATGCCTTAAACCACTACACAACCAGAGCTCCTAGAATCATAATGGGGGGGGGGGAATAAGTCCACCCACGAACATTTGACCAGATTTCAGTGATGCCCTTGAAGAATGAATGGCTTTAGCTGCGCAGATGGGCCTGGGATACCGTCCACACTGCGTCAGGCGCACAGCGGTTACCTGTGAGGAGG